ACAATACTTTGAAGGGGACTAATATACAGTTCAATAAAAATGCAAAAATAAAAAATAACAAAAACAAATTCCGGTTATTTTTGGGCACCCCCTCGTATGTTGTTATAAACTGTATTGCAGTTAATATACCTCCTACCACTAGATGGTACTGTAGGAGTACTAACGAGCAGAAACACCATCTGTCATGTATCGGTCATATGATGTCTGCAGTATAGCTTTGTTTATTGCATGACAGACATGTCGTTTTCCCAAGAACGAGTTTTTACTGTGGAACATTATTTTGCCAGTTGTCTTTATGCACATGTTGCAGACGAGTTTCGTCGGGAATATCCAGATTCTGCAGTTCCTAACAATTCAACAATAATGACAATAATCAACCGATATCGGAAATGTGGATCAGTTTCAGATAGGAAGAGATCTGGGAGACCGGCCATTTTGACTGAGGCTAAACTGGCTGACGTTGAGAAGATGTTGCAGTGTTTCCCTTCAAAAAGCCTGAGGAGACTATAAGCGCAATCAGGGATTTCGTATGGAAGTGCTCAGAAAGTGATGAATTTACACCTTTGTGCATATCGTGTTCGCTGTGTGCAGGAACTGAAGGACCTGGATAAAGAAAAATGCTTAGTGTACTGTAGATGGTTTCGGGCATTTGTTGGCAACCATGGAATTGATGAGTTTGATCGGGTTTTCTTCACTGATGACGTGTGGTTTCACCTTAGTGGCTACATGAACAGTCAAAACAATAGGATTTGGTCATCTGAAAATCCACGTGTTACATGAAAAGCACTGTGAGAAAATTGGAGTGTTGTGTGCTGTGTCATGTCATTGAATAGTGGGCCAAATTTTCTTTGAAACAACAGTGAACAGTCCAGTGTACCAAGACATCATTACACAGTTTACTGCGCTTCTTGAAGTTGATGAACGTGAGTGTTGGTTACAGCAAGACAGTGCCATGTCATACATTTAATCAAACCATGCAGTTCTTGTGCAAGTTCTTCGGTGACCGTCTCATTTCGAAAGGATTGTGGTCTCCATGTTCGCCCAATTTGTCACCCGCGGATTATTTTCTTTTGGGGGTACCTCAAAGAAATTGTCTATAAAAACAATCCACATTCACTGGATGACCTCAAGAGGAACATTACAACGGCGATTAACAGCATCAGTTTACACGTGCTCCACAAAGTGCCTCAAACATGATCAAAAGAGCTCGTGCATGCATTGCTGAACAGGGAAGCCATTTCGACCATATATTGCGAAGACATGATTTGATTTCGCATTTCTAAGATAGTAAGTGCTGTATGTCTTGTAGTTTGTGCATTAAACCAGCAAAATATAATTGCTAGTGTGATGTGCGCAACTTCTCGATCTTCCTGTTTATGCACAGATTTTATGTTCTCCACCCTTTCACCATGCTCCATCATGGTGAAATGGCCGTTGCATGCCTGTTCCTGGCGTGCAAGGTGTAGAACCAACTGAAGGCCATTGAAGCAGTAATAAAGATACAACACAGGTGCCTCAACCCAGGCCAGCCTTCACTCAACACAAATATATTGTGATGTATCTGCGCTATGCAGGGGCAGGACCCCGTCCTTCCAGCCTAGCAGTGGCCAAGGACCACGTAATTCCCGCACAGTGTGAGGGAATAGTGATGGCCAGAGTGGAGAACCCCCTCGGAGTAGAAAATGGTCTGGCAGAACCAAACGCTCAGGCCCATCTGCCTGATGGAATCTACATAGGCAGAACTTTAATGCAAAACCACCAGGAGGTACCAGTGAGTCTTGAATGCTGTCGGGATCAAAAGCTCATAAGAGGATCCACTTTGGCACACTGTGAGCCAGTCACGCTAGTGACAATGGCAGATGTGACGCAGACCCAGGCCCACGTTCCAAGATCAAGACTAGAGGACATAATTGCAGAAGCCAAACCACATCTAACCAACGAAGAATTTCATGAATTGGGTGAACTCCTGACTGAGTATAGGGGTATTTTTTGCTGGAAATAACGAAGACTATGAGAGGACTAACAAGGTGTATCACTGTATAAATACGGGTGATGTCCGACCTATTCGCCAACACCCGATGTAGCCGTACCACTGACACCAACAGCTTCATTTGTAATCAGTATTTCTTTTAGAGTAATTAAGCATAGGATGTAGTAGTAAGTAGTAAGTAGTAAGGAAAATTCAAGGGTGACTTAGCCCAATTCTTGGTTTCAAGAACAAGGCCTGCTTCACTGCTACAAAGACCAGGCAGGAAGCACCCTGCAGAGTTTTCTTGGAAATCCAGTTCGAAAGTTGACGGACGGGATCCTTTGGTAAAGTTACACTTGACAGGTTCCGAAAACTAGCGTCACTGTCAGTTTGGTTTAAAAAAATCAAAGTTAAAACAGAATTATGTTTAAGTGTGTTACGGGAACAATCCCTGAATAACTGCAAAATTTAATGTGAATTTTACTTTGTCTTAAAAGTTTAAGTGAAAGTGTAATTCTATGTGGTGCTAAAAGAAGCAGTCGCTAAATCACTAGCCAGGGATCCGGTCGCCAACGTTTGAGTGATTTCAAGGTGTTTTAAGGGAGTGCAACAAGTGCTGTTACATGTACGTGTATATCAAGATCTGCTAATTAAACAGTGTGTGTTAGTGCCTAGCTATAAACACTCTTATCTTTCCCGCTGACACGAGGCCCGTATTCACCCTGAGACAGAATCTCATTGCTCTACTGAGAATGAGGTACCTATCACCTGTAATTTCCGGTTCATCCCCCCTTTTTTCCTGAATTGTAAGCCTTTATAGTAAGCTTACTGGTGCCCAGCATTAAGGTAACCCATATCCCACAAACAATTGTCCACAATAACAAAAAGGGAAACAGAACTGGATAAGGACGCAGCAGCAACCTACAAACTCAGAGTACCAACAGGTGAGAGGGAACGGCTAGAGGAGCAGCTGCAACCCGCAACCAAGGGGCCAGAAGAACGGTTACAGAGAGGGAAGGTGACGCCCAACGTAAAGGGCCCTACAAAGAGCGGTTAGACCGAGGAGGCTGCTCCTAGCAAAGCAACTGGAGGTCAGTGAGATGCCTGACATGCAACGCCGTGGGGTTATCAAGGAATCAGACAGCCCCCGGTCGTCCCCAGTCGTTCTGGACAGGAAGAAGAATGGAGAATTCTGTTTCTGCGTGGATTACAGAAAGTTAAACGATGTCACAAAGAAAGACTGTTTTCCACTACCCCAGATTGATGACAGTCTAGACACGCTGGCTAGAGCCAAGTGGTTCTCCACTCTTGATCTGAAAAGCAGATACTGGCAAGTAAATGTACACCCGGAAGATAAGGAGAAAACCACATTCTCGACAGGCCAAGGATTATGGCAGTTTACAGTCATGCCCTTTGGGCTGTGCAACGCTCCTGTGACATTTGAAAGGTTAATGGAGACAGTCCTGTGAGGTCTCACGTACTTAGACGATGTAATAGTAATTGGCCGCACTTTCCAAGAACACTTGACCAACTTGAGAAAAGTATTTCAGTGGTTCCGAGAAGCCCGCCTAACACTCAACCCGGAGAAGTGTAAACTCTTTCAAAAGGAGGTACGCTACCTCGGACATATTGTATCACCTGGAGGGATAACCACCTACCCAGGGAAACTGAAAGCCGTGAAGGAATGGCCAACTCCGGAGAATAAGCATGCTTCCTGGGGTTATGCACGTATTACAGACGATTTATTTCCAGTTTTGTGAACATTGCTAAACCACTAACAAAACTCAATGAGCAGAAGCAATCCTTTCAGTGAACCACAGAGGTTGAAGAATCTACATGGACAATTGTTTCAGTTTTCCTGCATTTCGAGTATTTGATGATCTATTACAGAGTAAAATAAATTCATGTGGCACCATTCGCAATGATAGGCATGGAATGCCACAAGAAAAACGGCCCAAATCAATGAAATTGAAAAAGGGGGATATTGTTACAAGAGTCAAGGGGCATCTAAGTGTTCTTTGTTGGAAAGACAAGCGTGATGTGTATGTTCTGACGAATATGCGACCTCCTTCATTGGATGGCAACTTCCGAGATGAATCTGGCCATGCTGTCAAACCCTATGTAACTGAAGACTACAGTGCACACATGGGCTCTCTGGATAAATCTGACAGGACGGCAAACAGTTGTGACATTGCTCAGAGGACGTGGAAATTGTTTTCCCACCTTCTAGATATGACTATTCTAAAGGCATATCTATTACACAAATCATGTGATAGCAAATGACACATAAAAAATTCCATAAAATTTTGGTGCAGGATTTGATTCAATCGCATGAGGCGAATATCGCGGTCAGTGGCGTTTCTCGGGGGAGGTCGAGTTCATCTGGGGCCCATCTGAGTCGACTGGAGGTGAAACATTCACAACAGTGGCCAACCAAAGGGAAACAAAGACGTCATGTGTGTTCTCTAAATAAGAAAAGCAGGAGCACTCTCTTCTATTGCAAAAAGTGTGATATTGTGCTGTGTGGTGGACTGGTTTGAGAAGTGGCACACACGCATTAAGAGTGTAGGGTATCGTAAACTGTGAAGTGACGCAGTTCAAACTTGTGTGCAGTCTGAACAAAATATTATTGTATTCATTCATTCATCACGACAACTCAACTGGGAAACATGGGAACAAGTAGATGTGATGGCCATATATTGTCTGATTCTGTGGCATGATATTATTTTTATAAATGGTAAATTTAAAGAAAAACAATATGACATTGCTAAAAAAAATTATTGTATATGGTGTGATTATATTTACAATATGACCATGATTCAAAGTTGAAGAAAAAACAACAGGTAAGTCCTTTGGAATTTCATAACATATATAATAAAGATAACATTTTGCATTTCATGACAAAATAATCACAGCTAATTTTTATTTGTAAAAATTACTCTTTTGTGTATATGTAGAAAATATTATTGTCTTTCGGGTTCTTTTTAGTTCACATTTCTATGTTGCATAGAACAGAAAATATGCAGTTCTTTCTGAGTCTGCAATGTTAAAGACTTGGGGCCATTTAAATTCTGGCAGTACAGGGCTGCTGGCAATTTAAAAGTCAGTACATTAAAGGTTAAACTGACTTGTCAAATTGTAGTACTTGTGTAACAGTTTATGGATGTAAATAAATCATGAATTATTATACAGTTCTACAATTTACCATGGTTTACCCTTCTGCCCTTCTCAGGGTATCAACGTCAACTCAACGCAACTAGATCCCTTGTGCTCTTCCACATATTGTCGCATGCCAGTGCCACTTCGATCATAACAGACACAAGACCAAAATTCTTATAGTTTTATTAATAAATGTTTTTTTTTTTGTAAACTTGGCAGCAGTATGTGTTATTTTTGTGTCAGCAAGAATCTATTTTTACTTTAGATTAAAAGTGTCAGCAAGAAACTATTTTTACTTTAGATTAAAAATAAACTTTACATAATGTTACCCTCCTGCATTTTGGGGTTCAAAAATATGCAGGGAAGGGGGGAAAGAATTACACGAATAATTATGGTGCATCTCATATTTATATAAATTTGATCATACAGTTAAAAAACCAAAAGTAAGTTAACTGGTTAGTAAAATGTACACTTAAATACATTACAAATTCCTTTATTACTTACTGAATTTACAAAAATAAGATCTTCCATGTTCAACGTACAACTCCCAACACTGTGATACCACTCTGCTAATTCAATGGCAGGTTTAAATCTGAACATTTTGAACAATATAAGAGAATGTTTAAAGTTAACTGACTTTTGGACCTTTCTGTATACAATTCATAAAATTTCCTTCAATACCGTGCACACCCTGAATATGGTCTGTTAATCCTGAAACACGTCAGGGTTTCAACAACGTGCAATGAACTTACGAAAATAAATGAGCTGTACTTGGTAACTTACATCCCATTTCAATACATCTTACTTTAACAAGGAAGCTGTCTAATGATGGCATAACCATCTACACCACCTGACAATGAACCACTCTCAAGAGATGTTTCAGCCAGTATATTACGTTATGGTAACTGTAATATAAGGAGTGCAAAATCTAGACCCATATAAAGCGCTTGCAGGCTCAGTAACATCACTGCTTTCAAAACATACTCTACAGATACCTGAGGTTCAAGGTACATTTCAGCTTTACAGTTTGGAACTGTGTCAACACTGCACCATCTGCAGTCCATACCCTGCACTGTAGCATGGCCATACACAATGCATTCATGGTTGATGAACTCGTCCATTTATTCGCTGCTTTCGCTGTTTCTCCATGCTGCATGCCAGGTCCCAAGATTCCCTGGACAGGGTCCCTTCACCTTGACTCAGTGACACCAACCTTAAAGACAGATGCAATGTTCAACTTCAGTACCATTTAAACACCATCAGTAATTATATGAAAACATATCTTTTGCTGTATTTAAAGCTTTCTCCATATGTAAATGTTAAGTTTCTAATACAGTTCCTCCACAATCCAGCAGCTGGGTTCAAATTGCAGGTGACAAGTCTTCAAACACTTCTGCTGTAATGTGTAAGTAGGAGTTAGGCTGGTCCTGTTTTCAAGCTCATCCATTCTCAAACTGAATACACAGTGGGAATTAGTAAAGACCATTAAAATAATGGTTGTGGCGTGTGTATGGGTTACAGCAGGCCTTAGTTACAGTACACTGCCCTCTCCCATACTACAGCTGCTACCACTGCTCCATAACTTCCTAACTTCTCCTCATGCACCACCCAGAGGCCAGATCCAAATCACAGCCCATACAACACGGTAAATTTGAGACTGAAAAACTGTCTATACTAGTCAGTAATATGGAGGAATTTTATTGATGTGTTAACTTTTTAATGCAATCCTAAATTAAACCTTTACCTCAAATGAAGCTTCAAAACAAAAAACACGTGTTTATACCACACATTGTGATGGGCATTCATAGTGATAAATCAAACATTTTTCAGAAAGGCAACAAGCAATAGTGAATGTTTGGCTGATCCAACAACCCTAGTTCACAGTTTTCAGAAATGTATTGTAATATGTTAGTGAGTATACAGAGGACAGACTGGTAATTTGATTTCTGAACGCTTGTAACTTGTAATAGCAAATAACTGTAACAGCTTCACCCTATTTTACATTGTAACTACTTTCCATTACAAACACCGAGCCCTAATTTAACACCCTATTCAACCATCCTGAAACTTCACAAATTCCCTCCTAAGAATTCAACGGACAAATTCTCAATCATGTAGTTTGCATCTCGTCTGTGATGCATACAAATAAAACTGAAGCGTTAGTGTCGGATAATCAGATGTTTAAGCCCAGACAGGACATTATCAGGTGATTCAAGAGAAACATACAGATGACAACAAAATCCATATAAAACTACAATGCTGGTATAAATCTGTCGGTTATATGAGGTCGGATTGAACTCAATACCATATCCTAAATATTTACATGAATTCTCACAGACAAGTTGTCAAATGTGGATGCTATTTTTGATATCGTCAAACCAGTTCACTGCCTACATGAACTATGCTTTCCATATCACAGGAGATGCTTCTAACAGAAACACTGAACAAGATCATACTTTGTGAACAATGAAAGCAAAAAAGAAGTATGAAAATTATTAAATACAAAGATACCATTACCTGGAGAGAACAAGCAGCAGATGCAGATCAGAAGCTGAAGTTTTTGTGTCTGTCTCTCTTCTGAGCCTCACAAAGTCATCCTGAATCACCTGTACACATAGCAACTGAACCATTTAATCTCAGCACAATCATCTTATTACATATTACACGACACGTCCGTTTGACACAGCTTTGTTGAATAACCTAACAAATCCTAAAACTCTAACACGGATGTATCTTGGTTGCAATAATCTCATTTCCATATCTCATGAGCCTATCTAATCTACCTATTCTTGATTACCAATGTCTGCTGTAATTACATCATGAACCTAAGCAAATTAACGAAATAGTCAAGCACTGCCAAATACTGCTGACTTCTGTAAATTAAAATTAGTAAAAAGAAGGTTCTTTCAATTTAAATTATAGGTAACAGATGTGTGAATTTCTGAGGTGTATAGGGTTGGAAATGGTGCCGATGAAGGGGTTGAGAGCAAGTGGATATGTAGTCTATTGTGCATGCGTGTAGGTGGACTAGCTCCTATTAAATTATGCTTTGTCCCACAAACTTTGCTATATTAATGGCTGATATGGCGAAGAGTCAGAAAACCTGACTCTCTCCTTCCCAGAAAAGAGGCTGCTGACTCAGTTGAGTTCCTACCACAAACCACCCCAACTGCTATAAGACATCAACAGCTACAGCCACCAATCTGTGAGCTTCACCCTTGCCATGCTTTCAAACCTCAGTCTACAATTACCCTGCCTGAAAACACTGCCAGTTCAAGGCATGGGACACAGCTACGACCATTCTGACAGTCAATTTACAGAGGAGCGGCATAAAACCCTTTTGTGATCCATTATCATCCCACTGTCTACAGTTACTGAGCTAAGGACAAGCTCACAGATTGGCAGCAGCATCTGTAAACAAATTCTGTATAATGCCTCTGCATGGTGAGCACTCAGACCATTGAGTGCTTTGGCACACCACTTGCCAAAGACTTCTCTGTGGACTCCATGGCTTTGAAAAGTGTCCCCTGAAATATTGTCTCTGTCCTCTTGTCATGAATGGTGTCAAATGTGAACAAGGGTCCACCTTCACTGCCATGCCTCTGCTGGATCAATAACCTATAATATAAACAAAAACCCACCCAGCTCATGTCATCCTTGAAGATGGCCACAGCATTTGCCTATGAAATGTCAGCAAAATCCCAAACATTCACATAGTAATAGGTAAAGTTGTCCCAGTGGTTAATTAAGCAGGGGTATAGCCCCATCATTCTTGCCCTTGGCACTATATGGAGATGAGAAGTCAGCTTCTGCCCCTGCCGCTTTACCAAGGGAGAAAGAGCCTCCAGTACCCACTGGATAGGAGGCTGGGTGGGCTCCAGGGCCAGACTGGAAGCAATGGAGAAATAAAAAATCTTGCCCCTGATGAGAACCAAACCCTGGCTGTCCAGTCCATAGCTCAATATCCACATAATGTACTGTTCAGTTACTATGGCTATGAGCTGAGCTGATTTTAGCTTGGGGGTAACAGTACTTGTAATGAAACAAGGCGATACCGGTCCTGCTGAATCCATGCATGCATCAGAGTACATACAGTACAGCACATGCTGATCCCTCTGATACTATGACTTGTGAAGAAACTCACTTGAGAAGCATTTGTCATTCCTGGCAGAGAATGTACTGATCAACAACTGAAAACCATCACATGTAACCAAGCAGGACAGCAGCAGAACTACATACAAACCTGCTCCAGGTCCTGTGGCAAGCAGTATTCCAATAAACGCACGGCTGTGAGATATTTCCGCAATCTCTGCAACACTGGCTCCTGGAGATAGTGGTTCACAGCTTCAAAAATCTCATTCCAAGTTTCCAAGCATTTCGAATCAGGTTCCAGGGGGACTGCCACATCATTCTGGCAGGCAGGGAAAGAGAAAGGAAGCTCAGCCTCACTATATCATGTCCATAAATGTGAGAACAATGTGCTGAGGAGAATATTTTGACCTGAGAGAGAAGTAAAACTAGGATGGAAAAAATTACACTACAATGAGTTTTTAATACATCACCTGAAAGTAATCTGGGAAATGTACAGAGGATTTCTGGGTCAGCAGATGCAAAGCACATGAGAATGATAAAAAACTGTAGAGAATTTCACTGGAAAAAGAGAGACTGAACTGACTCCAGACAGCATCAAGAAACAAGTTTCATTAAAATGTTAAACTTTATGAGTTCTATTCAGTATTTCTATCACACTTTGCTTCATTAACTGCCACAGTAGCACTCATGTACCCTTTCTCATGAGTATCAATGCAAATTAACAATGTTACAGCTCACTTCAGCCTACTGGAAACAACTGAAGTGTACTGTACCTCATCAAAGTTGAGCATAGAGTACTGCAGAAAAAAATTTCCTCTGGCAATGAAGCTGTTTCAGCTTTATTTCACATCATGCTCCACAGAGAGCCTGCTCATTACACTGAAACCATCTGGTCTCAACCAATACTAATAAACTCTGCTGCCTAATGTGCATCACATTCTCCTGAGACTTGATACACAAAAGCAGGAACTCTCACTCACAATTACTGGGGTTTTGGACTGTGTCCAACAGTTGAGATTAGCTCTTTCTAAGAAATCCAACAGAGTAGCTGTCTCCCCCTCCCCTGAGGATGGAAACAGATGCAGTTTCAGAATCGTCTTTCTGAGTGCCATACACCGCTGTCAGACTCTTTAGAATCTAGATGAAATAATGTTCTGAAGCCTCCAATCTTTGCCTCCACAGCCCCAATACATCTTCACGGTGTGTTGCTCAGGTACATCCTTTCATGGTATCAGATTATTATGAGGTTCTTTTGGAAAGTTTCCAGACTAGGTCAAAAAAAGAACCTCACGTCCAGTGATTGAGGTTAGCTCTGTAAACAAAGTTACCAAGGGAACCAAGTCACATGAGTGCTGCAACCAAGTCACAAACACAACAACAGAAGAACTGCTGAAGGTAGTGTTCTTTGCCAGGTCTGCCTGGAGGCTACATAATGAGGCATTTAGGCCACTAGAGTAAATCTGGACTAAGGGGTCTACAGTTATCGTCATGGGTTAGATGTGTGAGGGTCACCAGCCAGCGAGGACTAGAGCCATTGAAAGCACTGGAAGCAAAGGATGGTGTTTGGAGACATTCCCACATAATGCAGAGTGAAGACACATTAAGGCTCAGTGCATGCCATAGTGAAATGTAAAGAGTGTGAATTAGCGACAGCACAATAACCAACTGCAGTCATAGTAAGAGACGAATAAATCCAGTTACCAATACAAACTGTGTGTCTAGTCACTAAATATGTGACATTTTATTGCTTTTCCCACTGGCCAACTGCCCCTGAAAAAGATTTGTTTTCTTTTATTGGAATGATACCTGCCTGTCGTGACCAGTAGCAGGATCAGTAAGTGCTTAAGTGACAATCAGCATTTACACCCAGATTTTTGTATTATCCATGGTTTTTAATTAATCACAGAACTTATTTACTTTATTACTGCAGATAATAAACCCTTCACTGTGCGACATTTCACTACATCTTTTTTGGAACATTTTAAAAATTACTAAAACTTACATCAATGTAAACCACCATTAAAACTTACTGGCAATAGTGATTTCCCTTCAGAGAGCACCAGAACAGGCACATCAGCTTTGAACTCCAACTTATAGAACTGGAAGTCGTAGTCCACTTTCTGCTGAGAGATGAGTGTGCCCAGTGCTGCCACATTATGTACACCATTTGAGTCCAGCTGACCTGGTTCCAAGCACGTTTCATCAAGGACAAGATGTGTTTGTGTGCTGAGTTGAAGTATACCACTTACAAGTCTGTTGGCATCGTAGTCCTTCCTGCAATCGTGGGTCAATGTTAGGTAATTCAATCCTGCCCTGTGGTTTTCTATGGGTGTGAAACTTTCTTTCTAACATTACAGGAGGAACATAGACTGAAAGAGTTTGAGAACAGGGCGCTGAGAATATTTGGACTCAAGTGGGATGAAGTGATAGGACATTGGAGAAACTGCATAATGAGGAGCTTTGCAGCTTGCGCTCTTCGCCAAGTATAATGTGGATAATAAAGTCAAGGAGGTTGTGACAGGCACGGCATTTAGTGCACACTGAGGTGAAGTGGAGGGCATACATGATTCAGGTGGGAAAACCTGAAAGAAATAGACCAGTAGGAAGACCTAGATGTGAGATAACATTAAAACAAATCTTAAAGTACATCAGCCAGTTATAACCTTTAGATTTAGGTATCATCCATGTATTCAAATGCCATTACAGGTAGTTGCTGATTTGGAAGACTTTAGCCATAATGGATAGGGGACTGCTCCAAGATGCTATACAGATGAAGTCAATGTCTTGTTTGCAATGCACTTCATAGCAGAAGCCTGGAGACTGATAACACTCACCAAAATAAGGAACTGCTTTGTGAAATATGCTTTCTCGATCATGTCAGCAGTAATGCTGACAGCACAGTGAAACTCTACAAAGATGAAAAGGATGATTGGCACACTCTACTTCCTGAAGTGCATTTTAAGGACTACACGACATGTGATAGAGCTCTTGAGGTTTGTGGAATTTGGAGAGTCGACCAGGTGTCTGGGCCAGAACACGCACAGGAACAGTGAGTTGAAGAACATAAAGCAACATACTTGGATCTGCTGAAATGACTTGAAGCAGCAAGAAAACACATGTGTGAATTTGCCAGCAAGAGGGAACAAAGTCGCTTGCGTCCGTGACATTCTTTAAGTCATCCATGTCCCCTGGGTAGTGCAAAATGAGCCACAAAACTGGCAAAGCTTCGCGAAAGAAAAGTGCAAACTTCTTCAAGATGCAACAAAGCAAGAACTTGCATGCTCTCTATAGTTTAGGCCTTTGGTTTTATTTTTACAGGGTTATACCTCTTGTTCTGTTTTAAAAGGATTAGGGTTTTAGTTTTGTCTTTAAAAATAAACATATACCATCTCAGTTACCTGGGTCATATGCTAATAAGTCCCTAAGTTGAATTTATATACACGAAACCTGTAGATAAATTCCAGAATCCATGAAGAATCTGCATGTTACTAACTCTACGGAACTTAGCCCTTCAGTCGAAGCTGTCAGTTCCTTGGATATTTCAGAATTTCCAAATATTTTACGGAACCCAAAGTTGCATTACAACCTTCATCACAAGAACCCCCACTGTTCCTTATCCCAGGACAGACTACTCCAGTCTAGACCAAACCTTCCTACTTTTCTAAAATCCATTTTAATGTCATTCCATCTACATCCTCCTAGTGGTCACTTTCCTTCTGTATTTCCCACCAAAATCCTATACACAGTCCTCTTCATTCCATACACGGTACATGCCCTGCCCATCTCATTGACTTCATCACTCTAATCATATGTAGCAAAGAGTACAACTTATGAAGCTCCCCATTATGCAGTTTTTGCCTGCCTCCTACCAGTTCAGCCCTCCTCAGATTCTGTTCTCGAATACCTTCAATCTACATTCCTCCCTTGATGGCAGACAGCAAATTTCGCACTAATTCAAAACTACAGGAAAAACAATGTTATAGTTTTCTAAATTTTAAATTTTTAAGGTTTCAGATTGCAGATGAAAAGAGTTTCACGGCATGTTACTGCATGATAAAACGTGTAACATATGTTATTCTATTAGCAGGTGACTTACTTTGGTGTGAAGGTGCACTTATTCAAATTCTCAATTGTTAGAGGCTGATAGTGGCTCTTTGTCACCAGTTGTCTGAGCACTGTGTACAGCTTTTCGGTGTAACCATGACCACACACAACATTGGAAATGTTCAGGCTCAACTGACCCAGGGCTAGCAGCTCACTGCGCTGGAACCTGCATGGGCAATTCAAAATAGACGAGCATTCACTGCACTGTACATCAGACTGCATATAAAATATGTGGCATATATTTATCCCTTTCAGTGTCAATCTCCAAAAGCTGGCTGAGTGGTTAACTGCTAATAATCAGGCTCTTGGATGTTTTTCATTTGTGTTTGTACATCCCAGTAATACTTAATTGTGAGTTCATGTCCATGGTGATTTTGGAGATGTATTTACATTGAAGTGATTGATCTCTGTCCAGTGTAGAGTTTGGGTCTGTGCAGAAAATATAGAGTAAAGTAATTTACAGGGGCAAGCTGTAGCATAGTTGGTAGAGGCACTATGCTACACACCAGAAGGTCACAGGTTCAAGTCCTTCCAGCTGCATTATGGTCCTGGGGTCAACTGAGCCTCTAACAGAAATGAGTACCAGGAATTTTAATGGATTTTAAGTGGACTGCAACACGCAATGTTAGCGCACTTGAGAACAGTGTAACAGGTGCACGCATTAACACCTGAAGACGGTCATCTATGGACGAAACATGTTGTGTTGGGCGCTGAATTGTGAATAAAGCAATTGTTGCATCATACATGGACTGTGAATACACAGGCCAGGAATCTTCCTGGGGAGTAAAGGGCTGACGAACTTAACACCATCTGTGAGCCGAATGTCTAGAGAAAATATGGGAGCCTCAACGCCTCACAACCCTATGGGCCATCATGACCAGTTACAAGGATAGCTGTACCTTAGCTTTTACAGCAATTTATATTATGTAATGTTAAGACACATAACTCAGGACCTTGAGCCCATCTGTAAATGGAACAATGCTTCCATGCATAACATGACTGAAGCATCAAGAAGATTCACGAAAGTTACAGCTGAATGTTTAGCATTTGTGTTTCGCACTCAGCAGGCCCCACATTCATACCTCAGCTCAGACATCAACTGTCATCACAAAGATACTGCATGCACTTTCTCAGTCCCTTTTGAGCACATGACCATGACCACTTCCATCCAAATCCCTTCCCAGCCACTGTTCACTAATCATCCCATCATTTGTTCCTTTACATCAGCTACTCTTGGACGGTCCACTACTTACCATGTCCGAGGCTTTTCACGAATTTTCTCAGTCCCTGCAGGCAATAGTTACCTTGATCACGCCATAAACTCTTCATTCTAAGTCATTACCAGCTCATCATTCCACCATCCTATGATATACACTCTCAATAATGAACACACTGTTAAATAACCAACAAAAAAATAAATAAATAAAATGGATTAACTTATCAACACATATCACCAGAGGCCAGGAACAAAATAAGAATACTTCCTCATGCCAGAGCAACTTCTAAGTGTGCACGCACGGACATGGTTACAGTGGTATATATTGTAACGTGTTTTACTTCCATGGCAACACAATAACAGTGGGCTGCTGCGTAGACAATGCCGAAACAACGAACACCTTTCCCCGGAGATGAACAGAAGGCCACTGAGTACCAAAGTACCAACGGATGAGACGAAACACATTACCGCTGTAATCTATAGGGAGCGTTCCCGAAGCAACGGATTGTCAAACACACAGGATCGAACCTTGGTGAGAGGTGTCCTCTATTGAGTCTGCATTACCCTTATATAAGCAGAGCTTAGAACATGTACTAGACTACTGTTACAGAACCAAGAGTCAAGCATTGAGGCAGAAGCCAATTGATGCTACAACTGATAACAATTGTAAGGTGTGCAAGACTGAGTGTCCTATAAGGAATCGCTGAATCCAAGACCCACGTGAATTTGTCGCGTAACACACCCAACACATGACAATATTATAGCACCAGGTCCAGCAGTTAATTTCTGTGTAAAACATCTCTGACGTTGTGTCATCATCAGTTAGTGATGTAAACCAGTATTCCATTATTAGAAACTTGTCAGATTCAGTTTTCTACATATGATGGAAACCAAGGTCCAGGTCCCCATTCAGAAATTTACTTCTGTATCAAACACCATCAAAGATGTTTCTAACAGTGTTTACCTTACCTCACATAACGACTAAGTTCAAGGAATAGGACCCAACTACAGGAACATCAAACTTACACGGAAGAAATCAGGTGACAAATGAAGTAGTTGGCAGCCAGGTGGTCTCCCAACAGCACCTGACTCAGCACCAGATGCAGATCCTGCCGCACCAATCTGGCCAATCCCAAGACCTCATCTGTACAGGTCAGAAACAATCAAAACTTCCTCTGAATCATATTGTGACATAACAGCGGAAAGCCACAAGAGTACTGAGTAGAGGCAGTCACTGCTAGGCAGCAACACTGTAAACACATTTCTGTGGCAACAGATACTGAAAACACCATAGTGGATGCAGTGTTTTCTATGTGACTACTGCTACACAATGGCATAGTAAACAGGTTTCCACAGCAAGGAATCAACAGGCAACAGAGGAGCTGTTAGAAGTGGTGTCATCTGTGTGGTCGCGCCAAGTCTATACAACGAGGACCAACAGCATAAATATTTTATGTCACACATCCATTATTTGGAGGGATGGAAAGGTGGTGGGACAGTGAGAAACTTTTGAAAACTAATAAAACTGATTTCACTTTATGAAATGTAATCAATATGAATGAGCATTAAATTTGAAACAACTTTCAGTGTACAATCAAGAATATGTCAACAGATAAACAGGCAGGAACATGGATATAAACTCACAATTACTAAGTTTAGCTTTGCCCCCCCCCCCAAAATGAAAATCATAGTCATCAGATGCCATAAAATACAAGAGTATGATGCATTGTATACCTGCTGAACTGCAAAAATTAAGTTCCAAGAGAGGATTGTTGTGTTTCAGCTTTCGGACAGACACAGCATGCAGCCTCGGAACAAGAGATCCAGGTAGGTTGTGAAACTGGGCTCCCTCATCCTCCATTTCCTCAGATATCAAACACAGTCTCGGGTCCACGGATAAAAAGCCAACCACTTCAATCATGTCATTCAGGGCAAGGGCTGGGTCACTATCATACACCTGTAGATCAATATGTTTGTGTACCAGCAGATATTTACTTCCAGCAAGTATTGTACAATGTAACTCTCCACAAACCAGAAAATATTCAAATTCATCTATCAGAAAAATAAACCAGTAGGGAGAGGCGAATACAAATTGCACACACACACAGGCATTACATGTAGCATGGCTTTACCAAACAATTAAGAAATTTAAGATGATTCCAGACAACAGACGCAAGAACTTAAGAAATTAGATAAGACAATAGCAAATATTCTCCTTAGACATGCTGACCATAGTTCAACTGGTCAAGAAATTCTCTGCCTTTAGGGAACTGTAAAGTCCAGCATTATGCCCACTGGATTTCACCCTTACCGCATTCACATATTTACTACCCAGTTCAGTGATTCAGTATTGAGGGGGTGGGTTTCCCCATGCACCGCGACTGATAGTCTATTGTACATCCCCTATTGTACATCCCCCTTTTTAATTTCTACCGTCTCCATCCCCTACCGATACTGGTACTCGCTATCAGCCCCTTTCTGTCAGCGAGTCAGTCGCTCCTCTGGCAGTGGTACCTAATACTTTAGCCTCTTTCTGCCAGCAAGGTTTCTACCCTCTACTTGGCAGTGGTATCTAACAATTAGTCCCTTTCTGTCAGCGAGGTCGTACCTCCTCTGGCAGTGGTACCTAATACTTCCCCATCTATCAGAGGCATTGGAAACTATTTGGGCGAGAAACTTTTTGGCCTAATTTAGCTCAGAGGCCTCCTAGAGGCATGAGGTTCTTTTACGTGCCATAAATCTATGACATGGGACCCATGGCTTAAAGTCCCTCCCGGAGGACTTGTTCCCTGAATTTTTCCGCCCTTAAAAATTCCACGACCTCCGCCGGGTTTGAACCCGCGTACCTTGAGTCATGAGGTGGGAACGTTACCCCTAGACTACGGAGGCCGCTTTACTACCTAGTTACTTATAGTCCATTTTAATATTAACCTCTTGCCTACACTTCAAGTTTCCCAAGTATTCCATTCACCTGGGAGCCAAAATGGCTTGGTCCATATAGGGAAGGACTACACACTGTATAGCCAAGGGGTTGGTCTGACTCCTGATATGGACAAGTAACTTCTTCTTCACAGCATTCATATTGGGTACAGATGACTCTTACCCTGTCAGTAAAATGGCCAGACTTCTGATACCAATGGACTTAAGTTTGTGCAACTGTCAGTGGGAAACAGCGGAAAAGGGCATAAGAGAATAAGAAATAAACTAGAGTGTCATATTCCAGAAGATAAAACTGAACACACTACTTATTTCAATCTCGTATTTTATGCAGTGTTCATTAATATTTAATTACATTTGCATAGACAGCAAATGTTTTGCAAGGAGACTGATGTTTTCACTGTCAGCAGTAACACAACTGTCAAATGTTTACAGCCAAGTTTGTTAGGAGCTGGATAGGAGTGACTGTGTACTTCAACTCTCTAACTTGTTGAGACAAGGTACTGATGGAACATGAATGGACAGCTTCATGACCTGGCCACTTTACCTGCACAAGAAGAGCCCCCACTATCACTGAATAGGCCAGGTGGGTCCCAGGAAAACTATAAAAATAAGTCTGCACAGAGGTTATGACTAGACACTAACAATACATCAATGACAAGGTTAATATAATGTCTCACAATATGCCTGGAGGAACCGACACAAATAAAAAATAAAAGACATGCTGTGGTCTTCTGGATAAGGATATTGTGCAGTCTGGAACGTGTTACGTTTTAGAGGAATACACACCATCCACCTGGGGAACACTGAGGATGGAAGCAGCATGGTCTTCTGATATGTTTATAACATCTGGCAGACTGCACAGCACCACAACAAAGAACATTTCAATAAGATCCTGTAAAGTATGTAAAAAGTAAATGTATCCCTGCACCAGGCTGTGGAGGCCCATAGGGTTGCGAGATGTTGAGGTTCCCACATTTTCTAGACAATCGGCTCACAGATGGCAGCAAGGTTGTCAGTCTTACACGCCGACCTCCCTTTACCCCCAAGAATATTCCTGGTACTTATTTCTGTTGGAGGCTGAGTCGACCCCAGGGCCATAGTGCGGCTGGAAGGATTAGGTCAGCTGAAAATAAATTCCGATGACTTAACTGGGACTTGAAACCACAACCTTCCAGCTTCTAGCATAGTGCCTCAACCAACTATGCTACCACATGCCCCACAATAAGAACCTGTACTGAACATGAAGGAAAGTTAACTGTGTGAGACTTGAGGTTCTCACAGGAGTCACTATGAACAGGACTATCTTCTGGGATGATAAGCTGCACAGTCTGGTAGATGCTCACTGGCCTTTTGGCATTTGGTTCCCTTTACCAATTGCTTATTTGCTGTATATTTTCCTGTTTTACTCTGCAACCTTGGAGATGGAACAACAAAGTAGCAAACTTCTGCCAAACTCAGGATTACTGGGTTCCTGGACTTCATCCACTGTCCAGTATTCTAAAGAACACATAGAATAGACAACTGACTCCAGAAACCCTATAATCCTAGTGTTAAAGACACCACCCTAAACACCCTTTACAAACTACTTCCACCAAACTACATGCATCACATTCGAGAAGACAGTAGTCTTCTTTATTACGATGCTAAGAACCTCTGCCATCTGTATGGTGTGTTAAGGCAAGGGCACACCAAAGGAAATTGGCAATCGCAATGCAACCACAATTTCCGAGAATTGTTATCAACCTGAGTTGAACACATTACTGAATGGAGCAGCGCAAATTGAGGAAACCGCAACTCAGTTTCCTCAATTTGCTGCTCCATTCAGTAACATGATGTACCCTTGACCTTACTGTGATGGAGCATGCATGGGTCCAGCAGGCCCAGTATCACATGTTTTAAAAGTAAAATAGACCTACCACTACTCTGAAAGTTAAATTCTTGCCATCATAACCATAGTAGTAGGGCACCTATGTGCCTTTTTTATCAAAAGATTTGAGTTGAAGAGTTTACTGCTTAACAATATGGAAGTGGACATTCCCCATCTGATGCTGGTACTCACATTTACTTCACAAATTTTATTGTCAAACAAAACTCCTGGCTAATTAAAAAATTCTTTCTTTTCAATTTAAGTTCACTGCTGAAACTTGTGTGTACTGACCAAAAACTGCTCACCTTAACCAAACAAGTCTTAGCTTGGGATTCAGGTAGTGGTAAGTGCAGTTCCGTATCACACCTTACGTTCCTTGGAACATGTTTCTTATCGCAACACACGCGTTTAACACTGGTTCCTGGTGGGCTGATACTACTGCTGAGTGCTTTGTTGCTGCTGGCTGACTCGTCTGAATAAGCGCGCTTATTCTCATGTTGCAATGGTTTCACTTCAGTGTGTCTGTCTGTGCCCGTGGCAAGAAGCTGCTTCACCCAAGGGTTGAGTGCAGGAATCGATATGCAGCACAGCACCTGCCGTTCCCTATGCACATTACTTCTTGAATCGTCTATGAATACCTCATCTGGCTGAAAAAAATTAACATTACCCATTTCACTCTTAATTAGTATGCATGTCCTTTCAATGACTACCTCCTACTAATACTGAACTACATTCACATACAAGCACATCCAATTGTCCTCACATCAGCTCTGATAACAGAAGGCTCATTCCATGTCAAGCAAATATGTCACAACTTGACAACACCAAAATGACTGATTTTTTCTAAAACTGTAGTCCTGATGAGGTTATGTATTCATCCCAAAATTTGCTCCACTTTGGCCACTATACTTTTGAGGGCAGACACCTTAATTTGCCAAAAGAAAGAGAGAGAGAGAAAGAAAAAAAAAGAGGGCACAATTTATGTTTCAAAAAGTGCCACCATAACTTCTGTCCTCAGTCACACAGCTAATTTCAAAACTAATAAAATACCATTTCCAGTAACCTATTACATCAATATATACATCATGGTTAATTTAACCTTCAACCTTGTTTCTTAAAATGTGGTACTTTAATTTTCTTAAATATATTGTGTGGCCCCGTCGTTGGTGTCTCCACCTTATCGTGGTGAGGGGGTTTGAGTATGCCAAGGACCCTGAGAGCTATACCAGCGGTAGCGTAGCTACTGGCAGGGCCTCCCTTGCTGGACAGGTCAAAGGGTAGGCATCAGACGAAGAGAGACACCAAAAACTGATGCCGGAAGCAGCGTCATCAGCAGCGACTTGAAGCACAGAGCAAATGATGCTCGAGATGGTTCAAGTTCGTATAG